TTAGAAGAGGCACCTCCAAAACCAGATATACTGTAAGTACCCTTTGTTGCATTATATATAATAATTGTAAATAGTTTAAAATTTAGCTATTTTATCTGATTTATAAATTTTAGGAAATTCATAGTTATAGGTATTAATGAAGTTACTCGAGCCTTAGAAAAGGATAATGTATGTAGCGTCTTATTAGATGCTAATACTGATCCGCTTATACTAATAAAACATATTATTTCCATGGCAGTAAACAAAAAAATACCTGTTCTAATGCTGCCCATGTTGAGAACAATCACAAAAGAAAAGGGATTTCCCTCAAGAGTTCTTGCTTTAAAGGTAACATATTAATATTTTATCATTTTAAACATATTTTTATAGATATTTCTTAGAGATTTATTATTTCTTACAGCAAGAGGTAATGCAATGTCCAAATAATGTTTGCTATCCAATATACAAATCGATAGCAGAGGCTTTTAAAGACTTCAAGTTACCAGAATGTTTGCTTCAATGTTATAAATCAGATGAAGTACCTGATAAAAGCGGAATGTGTAAAACAGAGATCACAGAAAAGGATTCTGATATAAAGCCAAATATTTCTAAGCCAGAAAAATCTGTTGCAGTGTTTGCAGATGTATATAAATACAGATCTTCACGAGATGAAAGAGCTTTCGTACCACCAACAATCAACAAAAGTTCTCAAGTTTCTCAAACACTATCAGATAACTTTATTCCTTCAGACAGTGATCTTGATACTGTCAATGATAAAAATTGTGCAATTATATCGAAGAATGAGAAATATGTAAATATTGGTAAGGAAGAAAAATATTTACTAACATCCGAAAATACAGAAGAGAATCGGTCTTTTAATGAATTGAAATTAATAAAAAATAAAGCAGATTCAACGAAACAAACAAATATATTAAGTTCTCAAATCTCTCAAAAATCAGATGATTTTATTCCTTTAAACAGTGATTTTGATTCTGTCATCGATAAAAATTGTGCAAGTACATCGAAGAATGAGAGATATATAAATATCGGCAAGGAAAAAAAACATACACTAAAGTCTAAAAATACAGATGAGAATCTAAAATATAAGATAGATTCAACGAAACAAACAAAAAATATATTAAAAAGACTCAGAAATGAACCTAATTATTTGTCATTAAAAATAAAATGTACACAGGGAAGTAAGAAACGAAAAAAAGCAACTAAATTTGCTAAGAAAAAAGGGAAAAAATAGAAGCACTTGACAGTTTAGTAGTAGAATAATTGTTCAGCAAAAACAAAAAATTTGGGTATAATTCTTAGTATTATTCCGCATACAGGATTTTGAATGAAAAAATATTCTATTTTGATGAATACAAGAATCAAAAATATAAATTAAATCTTAAGGTACAACGTAATATTGGAAATAAAGAATTTGCATCGTCTTGAAAATCCAAATAATAATTACAATTCGTTTTCTAATCGTCTAAGGTGATCAAGTGTAATCATTTTTGTTTTATTTCATGTTAGAAAATTGTTAATAAACGTTATATTTGATACTCAACTAGTTAATAAATAAATTTCAATATTTGGAGCTGAAATTCATGCTTTAGCTTCAAACATTTAGTTGTTAACTTTCTAATTGAGTGTCAAAAATAAATTCTGTATAAAAAAAAGAAAAATAGAACAAAAAATATATATACAATAAAAATATATTTTAAATTATTACATTATGTACAAGAATTAATCCTATCTTTTTCATTATCAATTTACTAATAAATTATACTAATAAATAGAATTGTATTTACTAATATAAGTAATACAACTTAGTTAAAAAATTTCTGCCAATAACAAATTGTAATAAAAATATAGTAACCCCCTCATTTTTACGCATATAAATTATATATAGTATAAGATTAGAGCATATAAATTGTGTGTTGAATGTATGAAAACGAATTCAAATTAGTTTTCTCTGTATTAATTGTAATAACTAGATATTAGATAAATGACAATTCATTTAATATCCATATTTTTCTCAATATAAACTTTATGTGATGCTTTAAAAAAATTTCCAAAAGATAGAGATATTGTTTTTCTTTTTATTATTATAAAATATATCCTAAGCATAGTAATATCATCTTTTACACAGGTAAACTTGATTTTACAGACGATCTAAACACTCTTGTAAAGAACATAAGGCCAGTTGTACCTCCTGGTATATGACTTATTAAAAAGGACAATGTAGCTATCAACTGTAAGATAGCACATAATACTGTCAAAGGAGTCGATTGCAAATGCAGAGCAAAGTAAAGTGTGCCTGTTAATGTTGCAAAGTACAATATGGTAAAGTACTTCTTTTCAGCTAGGAATAATGATTTCATATAACTTGATCCCCACAAAAAACAAAAGCTGGAAGAAATCTTTTATTAGAAATATGATATTTTTCTTTATATATTCATAGATATATCTCATATTACTTTTTAAGTATTTTTATATATATATATATATGTATACCTCATTAGAAAGAAGAGACTTCCTAAGGAATAAAGTAGAGCAAATTTTCTTGCTTTAAGTAATAATACAGGAATATAAATCGCTGATAGACAAAAGCATAATAATCCCAGAAGAAAACACACAGTGAAGGATATGAGTCTTTGTGTTCTCGTCTAACAAAGTAAAAAAAAAATGAATCTTTTATAAAAAAGTCCAATATTCAAAGTCATTGAATATATAGAATTTATTCAACAAGAATTATAGCATAAAGTTAGTTTTCCAATCTATTTAATTTATATTTACCTATTTATACTTTTAAATATATTGATAAGAAAGAGATTTTTTTATTAATAACAATGGATGGTTTTTAACAAATTTACATAAATAAAAATTGATTAAATTTGATTTCACAATTTCCCCACAGAAATATAGAAAATTTCAAATTACAGAAACGTGAAAATACCAGATATTACATAATCACAAATAAAGTTAACTTCGACTAAATTCAAATTAATCCGCGATTAATTCGATCAGTAGAATTTATCAGATTGCACTGATTTCAACTATATAATTTATCGGCATTAGTCTAATTTTTTTCCCACGTTTGTAATATAACAAAAAAATCGAATTTTACATTTATAAAATACTACAGGTACTTACTTAATAGATTAATCGTTTGATTGAATGAATTTAGAGAGACAACGCCTTAAATTTTTAATGTTTAAGTTTAACATTACTGCTTTGCATTAATATTTTTTGAGTTAATCAGAATTTTTAACATTTAGTCAACATCAGTGCAAACATTCGTCGAATCGTTAAGGTTATGAGACAATGCCGTACCATAGCAGGACAACATTCTCTCCGCGATTTTTGGACCCATCCTGCGTTCTCCTCCGTCTCGTCGGTACTTTTTCCAAACCATTTGCCAAAGTTCGCTTTCGATATCGCTACCGATGGAATGGCGATTTTATATTGTTTTTCATTTTTGCTACTGAGGAGATATTCGTTCAGCTCCTTATTGAGATCGGCCATTTTGACATGTCGCCATATCGCGCCATTGAAATTATAAACAATAAAAGTTATCGATTGTAAGAGAAAAATTGTTTTTATCAACGATAAGTATATGTTTAATCAGCAAACTGTTTTATCGACTTACTGTTTTACAGCGACTTACTTTATCGATCGTACATAGTTCATTATACATCTGTTAAGGAGCTAATCGTACGAGATACAAAAATCGATTGGATACAAATAGCGTTTGAATACAAAATTGAATACAAATAGCGTTTTCTCTTGGAATACACTGGGTGCAGCCTCGCACTGCACCAATTGCGTGTAAGTCCTACACTCAGCTACACTAGAGTGGTGCATATCATGGTGTACACTACATCATTATTGTTAAAACCCTGTTTCGCTTGACTTCCATTTTCAAATTTTAAATGTCACACTGGCTCTACACCGTCCCTTTAATACGGTGTAGTCAAATTCTATTTTGTACATAAAATTTGCACTACATCGTAGTCAAGGAAATACGGTACACCGAAGTTCGCTTACCACCAATCAAGGAAACACGATACACTATCTGAGTGTTACATTAGTGCAGCCAGAGAGAAAACGCTAAATATATACGATCTATTCTATCGGTTTCTACCCTGGTGGAAAAATGTTGCTGAAATTCCACGTTTTGGAACATTTTTCAACACAATTTCAACATTTTAAAAAAGTTTCAGTTTAATTTCAACGATTTTTAGCTGAATAATTCATTTTCAACAAAATTTTAGATAAATTTCAGCAAAAATTTCAGAGAAATTTGAGAAAATTTCAGAGAAATTTCGGTTGGATTTCAGTGATTTTTTCAGATTTTTTTATGTTAGCTGAAAAATTTACTTTCAGTGAATTTCAGCAAATTTTCAGCAATTTCGCTGAAATGTTCCAAAATGTGGAATAATTTCAGTGAAACTTTTTCACCAAGGTATTTTCCATATATCTAGGATGTAGTCTACTTGACTCTTCAAATGCTTCGAAACTTTTGATTGATCAATTGGAAGAAAGAATTGTACTAATTGATCAATTAAAAAAATTCTTTGAAGCATTTGTAGCTTCAAGTGATCCTAATCATTTGTAAATTCGATTTTTAGCCATAAATTCACATTTATATTTCAAATCCGATTGTAATGAGCTTTGCTTTCACTGTTCTGAGCATAAAAAAATATTTTATTTTTACTAGTAATTTTTAATTGTGGCAAACTGTTGCGGCAATCGATTAGATAAATACTCTAAGTTAGAATGTATTATTATCAAGTTTAATTATATTGTATCTCTGTAGTTCACACAATTAACAATTTAATAAAAAAGTTTGAATTTATTAAATTTTTTTTTTAAATATAGTGCAAATATATAGTATGTATATTTCAAGTATTATTCAAGTTAGAGAAAATTATATGTACATATAAGAGTAGATCAATTGATACGTGAATTGGATGCGAGACGTAAATGACCATTCCGTGCTTCGCGTGAATAAAATACCACGATGGGTTTTCAAACTTACATTTATTTAAACAAATCAACATTGACCTCATATTTACGGATTGTATACTGTATTTGTTGCACAGAGGATGCACCTTTCTATACGCGAGATCTACGCATCTCGCGACGCGTCGTATCGTTTGATAAATCATTACGGTCGGGGACAAGGGAGAGGGAAGGAGAGGGGAGAAGGGCCAGGGAATTGGACTGAGTACTGATAGAATAATTATAACGAGATTAGAAGAGCTAGAATCGGACTAGAAACAAGTCTTACGTTATCACAATGTAATATCGCGTTAGAGAGAGCATTATAATAATCGTAATAAATATAATAATAATAATAATAATAATGTCGTTCGTGTGAAGAGGAATGATACTAATAGGCGCAAACGTAACAATATAGTTCGGGAACTCAGACAACATATCGATCACACCCGAAATACAGTACACACGCTACGAATACCGTTAATAATTCCCAGGTTCCGCTTATCCGTCATATATAGTTTTTTTTCTTGTGTCTTTTACCGCTAAATACGTACTGCTCACGGCCGCTTGATCTCTCGATTATACGATACATAGGATGAGACTGCTAATTATTCAACATGAAGATCTCTAAACTTATTCTCACATGCGCCGCGAAACGAATTCACCCTGGGAGGGATTGAGATGACTGTCAATTGTCAATTGCATACTTAATCGCGAAACTCCGTATATGTAAGCTCAAGGAAAATATAAACGAGCGTAAAGTATCGTGTGGTGAACCATTTGTTCGTTTCAATTTATCATTTTCACGATGAGTTTCGACAACTACGAGTTCTCGTCTCGCCGATTCCATTCGTATAATTCTGTCGTAACGAACCTTCGAAGGGTCATGAGAAATTCCTTTGAAAATAGCTTTCAAATCGAAAAAAAAAAAAACAATTTGCCAAATCTAATCTTTTATTATCCTCCTTTGCTACTTACTTGTCGAAGTAGAAAGCAAAAGAAGAGACATTTGAGAAATCTTTCCTCTCGTTCGCCACATTTTTTTTAAATGTATACACGGATTTACGCAACTAAGCGTACGTATTCGAGTATGCGTGCGCTTGTCATTTTCTCTCTCTTTCTCTCTCTCTCTCTCACTCTTCTCTCTCTCTCTCTCTCTCTCTCTCTCTCGCTCTCTCACACTCTTCATACGTATAAGTATGTACGTCTCCTCGTGGACATAAATTCGTGTGTATTTTCATTAACTATATACTTTGGCTTGTCCTCACACCTCACTGCACCTCCGTCTTCTGCTTTAACGCTAATGGCAGCACGGATACAAGTTTGTTTTTATACTGTAATAGCGTTCTCTCAGTGCACACACGTGCCCTATTCATTCTATTTCTTTATTCGAACGAACGCGAGTCCGTGTCGTACATATTACATACATATAAATACGAATATATGTATGTATATGTATACATATATATATATATATATGTATATACTATATATATATATGCATACACGGTCCATCCGCTGACAGCCGTGCGCGCGAATGGCGGTATAGCGTCCCTTCGGTTGATAGCGAGTACGCGACGTAGTCTCGTTTCTTTTTTTTTTTTATGCTATGTATAATATCGTACAGTACGTAATAACGCCGTAATAAACTGCTATGTGTACGCACTACGAGAGGGGAGAAAACTATATATATATTTATATATATTTATATTTTATATATATATATATTTTTTATATGTATACGTGTGTAATTCGTGGAGAAACGAATCGCTATGTAGCGTATAATGCGTGTACGTATGTACGTGTACAATACAAGCGGTAATCCACGCGGCGCGATCGCGCGACGCGACGTTCCGGCCTCCTTCGACGACGTTAAGGGTGAAATCACGGTACGGAAAAGGGCCGAGGAATAGAGAACGCGTCATTGAAACTACCAATTAGCGCGATTCGGAATAACGTTGATTGGTTGCTCTATGACGCATTTTCCATTCCGCATCGTAATTTCCGTAAGCGCGACAACGGGTTTCTGTAGATCGATTTTTTTTTTTACGAATCGTCGACGGAAGCGCGGTCGGAAATGAAAACGCGTCCTGTCCGTCGTGGATCAGGGAATCCCCGCGAGGATTCGCGGATTGACCTGCGCGTTCGTTCGAATGCATCGCGCTCCCTTTTCCTCCCCTGACGCGATTCCGCGCGTTTTCTCCGTTTTGAGATGAGTCACTAGAAAATATACGAGTAATCGCCTCGGATTATCATCGTTACAATTTGAAAGAATTTTTAATTTTTTAAAATGAAAATTTAATATTGGAAATAGTGATTAATTACTTATATTGAGAACTAAAAGCACTGTTGCTCAAAATAAGTCATTTCCAGTATTAAATTGATCAGTATATATAGATACTAAATTGGATTTCTATAAGAATTAATTATGGAGTAACTGTTGACAATGATTTTCGCTGTTTTCATCTTATAGACTTGCAATAGCAAATCCTTTAAGTCTTAATCCGTAAGAAACTAATCAATCGCAATCGAATGTGAGAAGAATAATTTTAATATTTCTTACGGCTTAAGAAGCTCTTGAAGCTTAAGTAAGAGCTCATTATAGAAAGCCCATTAAGTATCCTTTCATTTCAATATTTCATCTTTAAAAGGAAACGCACGGAATACATCCAGTCCGCTGACGGTTACGCTCGATCTCGTGACGCTTAGAAGGCGAGATGCGAACGGAATGCAAGAGTAAACGCACGTAACGACCCCTGCTTGCCGCGGATACTTTGCTACTCGAATTAACTTCTATCGTATCGCTAAGTCGTAATATCACTAATCGCTCATCGATCGCGTTACCGAGAACAATTACGGACGATCGACGAGACCAGAAGGAAACGAAAGGGAAGCGTGCGTCGAGAGGGTGCATCGAGAGAGAGAGAGAGAGAGAGAGAGAGAGAGAGAGAGAGAGAGAGAGAATGGCATTAAGGTACTTAGACAAAAAGGTACCGCGAAATTATCGGGTGACCGTTCACGCGGTGCCAATTATACGCGGAGCTATCCTAAAAAAAAATTATGCGCTAAACGACGGCGGCCGTTCGCGCGACACGAGATCGGACGTGTTCGCCAATGAAGGAAAATAAAGGGCTGGCGTCTAATCAGCGTCGTCGCTCGAGCGCACTCGGGTGCAACTAACGCGCCCCTAATGTGCGCGAGAGGGTGGCCTCTCCGTTAACGGTATCTGCTCATGGATGACGGTACCTATAAGTAAGAAATCCCCTATGCTATACACAGTTAATATCAGCCGCGCAGAATACTGAGCCATATCGTTCACGAGACACACGCGCACGATATAAAAAAGATCACGGGAGGCGTAAAGGAGGGTGGGAGAAAAAAAAACTTGCGCGGAACCGTCCCGTGTCAAAGGCGGGATATAACGAAATGTCCTTCATGCGCGAACGCGAAACTAAAGCGAGTAACACAAGCGGCAACGAGACACGGCATCGTTCAATCAAAAACGAACTACGTACATCGAGGACGAAGGGAGAAACGATCAAGTTACGCGCAGCCGATCGTCCCCCCACGGACACACCCTGTCGGTTTTCTCCCTACATAGCACATCTTATCCGAGGGACGTTCTGACAATATACCCTTAAGACTTTGGAACTTCTTCTGAACATCTAGAACGTCCCTTGGACGTTTGCTAGTATGAGTCCTCCTTACTCTCTAAAATGTTTATAAATGTAAATCTCGCTCTTAAAGATTGAATTGAATCGCTCGTTTTCAAGATTCCGGCTCAATTTTTACTCCTTAGAGTGAGATTCCACTTCAAAGAATTTAGAGTTTTTTTTCCTCATTTCTTAGTATCCCGTATTCACGCGGCTGTCCACCGACGTTTCCGAGTCGTTTCGATCTCTTAATTAATATTGCACGCACCGGCACACGGGGAGGGGCTACGTATCCGGCGACGTTTTTTCTTTTTTTTTTATTTTACGTTACGACCGCCAGATCGTTGCCCGAAACAACGAACGAAATCGATCGTCGCGAATCTGGATCGAAGCACGCACTCACGCAATCGTAAATTGCAGGATTGCGCTATCGATCCAACGCTCTCGCACGTCGATATATATATATATATAACGTATAAAAAAAAGAAAAAAAAAGAAAAACAGATATGAACGAATAACAAAGAGTCGTATCTCGTCGAGCCCCGACAGTTCTCGATCGGGCGGAGATCCGCGTTGCCCCTGGAACGAGGCCAATCCTTTGATCACGATGCGCTCTAATCGCATCTCCGTGATTTTCTTTTTTTTTTCCTCTCCTTCTCTTCTATTTACCTCTCTATCTCCTCTCCTTCTTATACACTTGTCGCTCAAAAAAAAAGCGAACGTTACAAATATTATATAATTACGTGTACACGTACGGAGTATACGTACATATACAAATTATGCTTAAACGTTATTTATTCGCGCGCGTCCGCGATCGAGGTGGATCCCTCGATCCACGTCGGACACACCCTGTGTATATCTCTCATCCTCCGTAGCGGAGAACACTCTCTCCGCGAATCAACTAGTCACGCTTACACTATAGAGATTCATGTCATTTATTTATTCCCTAGTCGATACTTTAATCGTTTTTAGCATTACGTTACTAATTACGGTACAGAACTATCAATCAACGTCCTACGGGTGAACCATCGTCTCGTATACGCCCGCCGGGTGGCAACCGGCTTTTTCGTCTGCTCGCCTTCACACAGAGTTCGCGGATTTTCCTGCCGGATGTCCGCCCAGTCGCGCGCAACCCTACATCTCGTCTTGAGCTGAGAGTATTACAGGCGCCGCACCCCGAGGAGAAGTAACTTCCCTGCGAGCGCAACGCGAAAACGCACATGTATATATTATTCTATTTAAATAATAATAGTCAGTCCTTGACCCCTCGCCTCGACTTCCGCCCGCTTCGACTCGCCTCTCGCTATGGAAACGACCGTCGAATGCCGAAAATGAATTCGAAGTTATTTCGTTTTTCTTCTTTTCTTCTATTTTTTTTTTTTTTTTGGTATTTTCCATTGTAGTCTTCGTGTAGGCCAACGAAGTTTTCGGCACCCATACGAATGCGATTGTGTTAGAATCTTCCTTCCCGTCTCGTTCGAACCTCGTTAATCTTCATCTCGACTAGCTGTGCCCTGCCGTCTCGTCTTTTAGGTGGTTTCGAAGATTATCTCTTCATGAGGCCCTTGCGAGGATAACCGAGCCGCTGTCTGTCGCGGGACGCCCTCTCTCTCCGAGTAGCTGTTTGAACCCCAATTTTAATATCATTTTAGTCTGAGACCTCGTACTTTTATTCAGTAACTCTTTATAAAATTGTAGTAATGGATATATTAGAAAATAATAATTCCTGTACACGATCTCCATTTATATATCTTGCTGCATTATTATTTTTTTTTGAGCTGCTTGTAATAAGCGGGTCGATTATAAATTAAGGAAGCCAGTGCCCACGTTCACTGCCGATGACACCTAACGACACCGACGGTTTACGGAAGGAATCGTTATACCGTCGTAACGTACTCACGCAGCTCAGGAGACTCCGCCCTCAACCAAGGATCGTCGTACTTGGACACTTCCTCGCTGCGAGTTCTTCCAGGCGGTTTGGGACGTTCGCGAGGATGCATGCGCGGTCCTTCTTCGCTCAACGATCTCTTCGTTGCATCTATATGTTTCGGCACCTCCAGCAGGGCCTTGGATCTGGTCAGCTGGGGCCTCTGTCGTTTAGTCTCCTCACTAGCAGCACGTATTATTACCGTCGGCGGGGGCGGCCCGGCCTGGGGCAGTCTGTCCTCCAGAGGACTAGTGGTGGGGAGGGACGCTTTCACCCTGATCGCACCCTTCCGGATGAGCCGAGGTTTGCTGGATCTGCGTGCCACTGGTGAGTATTCCGGCGAGTAATCCGGTTGCACGATACTCTTCCGCTTAGCGGTGGGCGTGGTAGGCTCCCTTGGTGACCAGATCGGCGTCGATAGGTCATCCGGCGTCGTCGCCTTTTTCGGTGGTGTTTTCTCCGGCGACTCGTCTTTCCAACCGCCTTGGTAGAGTGGGAACGGCGCGACCATATTGAGAATCTTCCACCGGAACTCCTCGTCGTCACTCTTGCTGGGTGTCGTCGGTTCCGGTGGCGGACAATGCGTAGGCGTGACATTGTGGAAGGGTGACCATTTCTTGTCATCGATTACCTCGACTGGGATTTCGCTCGGTGATTCGTCGTACGGCGTCCACTTGATATCGCTGATGTGCTTCTGCTTGTCGCGTTTTCTTATCCCGATCGTCGGTAATGGTGACGAGTCCTCATACGGTGCCCACTTGGTGCTGGTGATGCTGATCTCTGGTGAAATCAGACGTCGCACAATTCTGTTCTCTAGCTTGCTCATTTGTCGTGGATCCGGCTCCGGCGACATGCTCCTGCGTATGCTGTACTTTGGCCGTTCGCGCAGACTCTTGCTCTTCGTCTCGTCTTGGCTTCTGTACCATTTCGGCGCCTTTTTCTCGGCGGGTAGAGAGACGTGTGGCTTCATGGCCCATCTCGCTCGTATCGGCTTCTTGCTCTCCACCGGGCTGATGACTTTTTCCTTCTCCTTATCCTTGTCTTTGTCTCTTTGTGAGAAGCCCCATCTCCTCGAACTTTCGCTTCTCACTTGAGCGGAACGTTCCAGTTTGGGTCGATCCCTGGGCTTCCCTCTGGCGGCTCTCGGATCCTCGCTAGCTTGCCTCTTCACCTCTGGCTTTTCCCATAGCACGGCTGGTTCCTCGGGCGTCAACGATTTCGAGTAATACAACTTTTTTTCCTCCTTCTGCGTGATCGGCTTCTCCGGTTCCTTCAGCTCCGGTTTCACTTCCACTGGTGAAGCGGGTGGTGGCGTTTTTACCTTGGGACAGGTACATCTGGGCTTTGGATTTGGCATCACATCCGGCACCTGTAACCATCTGGCCTCCCTCGCGAATCTGGTGTCGTCGCTGCTGTGCTTCCTTAGGTCGTGCATCGGTGTCAGCAGATTTTCTGGCCTGACCGACCACTTGTCCGTCTCTGCACTATGATGCTTTCTGAGATCGCCGCGATGTACACCTTCCGGTTTTTTCTGTCCCGGAATTAGACTGTGGCAGCTGCACTTGGTCTTTCTGACGAGATCCAAGTCTGTAGTCGAGGTATGGAGTTCCCAACGAAACTCCGTACCCTCGCTGGTGCGCCTTCTCAGATCCCAGATCGCCTCATCGGGCGACAAGAAGCTGCTGGTACTCCATGTCACATCTGTGCTGCGTACCCTCAGGAAACTGGCGCGTTCTCTACGGGCGTCGGTCTCGCTACAGCTACAGATCTTTGTCGGCGTTCTTTGCGACTCTAGCGGTGCCGGTTCGATGGCGTCCAAGTCCTCGATCATCCATGAGATCTCCTCGCGACGTCGTCGGCCGCACGACGGGCAGAATATGTCATCGTCGCGACTAGACCGCGGCTGCGGGCGGGGCAACGTCGGGGTCGAAGTCGAGGTCGATGCGGTGGGGTCAAGCTGCGAGAGCGGCTCCACGCTCCGTCAAGCTGCCTTGGTGGGTACCGCGACTCCGGAGACGACGAGGCTCCGTTCGAGGCCACTGCCAGACAGACTTCCGCGTTCGCTGGAACCGCAGGCCTGATCGAAATCGCAAATTAGAGTTAGATTCAATGTGATCTTATTTTGTCGTGCGATTTTTCTTAAACAATTCTTGGAAGAGGATGTAGAAGGAAAATTATCGCCTCTTATCAAATAAACGATATTTTTAATTTTAATATAAAAAAACATATTTTAAAGTTTTTTTGTTGATTTATGTATTTCAAATGCAAAAATTATAATATAAGTAATTGATAAATTAGTAGAATCATATAATTATATCAAATTCTTAAAGTGGAAATATTATATCATCCCTTTACTTCAAAAGTGACATAAAAAAGTGATTTTCGAGTTATTACTAATGAATGGGTTAAATAAATATTACCTCATTAAAAGTTGTCTAACTTCATAAAAAATCGTCTTAATCATCACAACTCAGAAAAGATGATTTTTTTTTAAATTATGAAACGAAAACAAAAATGATATTTGATGTTAAAAATATATTCCTTTTGCTGCAACATTATTTGATTAGACAATTTTCTGCCAAATTGAAAAATAATTTTTCCTCTTTTCTGGAAAACTTGTTTTTTTTACTTATTATCTTTTGGAGTAAGAAATGCTATCTCATTGCTTGTATTAATAAGATTAATAAGTAACAAAGTGCAGGATATATATGATTCTCAAAACATTTATTACAAAGTTTTAATAATAGAACGTACCTTCAGCTCGCTGAAGATCTCTGTGAAGAAACCGGGCTCGCTGTTGATTCGCAGCATCTCGGAGCTAAGTCGGTTGACGATCAGGAGACATCGGTCCCAGAACTTGTCCTTGCTATCCTCGACGAGGAACGGCTTTAGTGGGTAACTAATTTCGTTACCCATGTAACTGTAGCTCAGATAAAGACACGTCAGTACCGTCGCCTGGAGCTCCTTCTCGGATGCCTCATCTCCATCGACAAGCTCTTTCACTAGCATATACACGAACACTACGTTGGCAGGGTTTATGAAGGGCACGTCCTGACAAACAAAAAAAGATAAATATGTGATTAAAATTTTATTTAAGAACGCATATTAGTTTAATCTAATTTATAATAAAATAAATAAAACATGTTCGTTTTGTAAATCATTTTATATTTATTTGTATTGTCTAGAAATATTCTATTTTTTTATCTAATTTTAAAAATAAGACTTATACATTCGTAAACGCAGGGTTGGGTAAGTTAACTTTTTTTTTAACTAAGTTAAATTAACAACCTTGAAAATTTAACTTAATTAAAATACAAGTTATTAAAATACACAGTAATTAATAATAAAATTAATTGAATTAAAAGTTAAGTTAATAAAAAAAGTAATTAAAAAATTAAAAGTTAAATTTAGTTCGAACAACCAAAAAAAAAAAAGAAAAAGTTTAACTATTTTACATAATTTTTCATATTTTTCTTTCCTCATAGTTTGTTTATTAAAGAATCTGGTTATTTTTGTTCACAAGTAACAATTATACAATATAAAATTACTAAATTATATACTCATTAGCCTCTCGCATTGTATCTAAGGATTGACTTAAAAAAAATCAAATTAAAAGTTAATAGTTATCTATAAAATGTAACTAAATTAAATTAAAAAGTTAAGAGTCCAAAATGTAACTAAATTAAGTTAAAATTAATTAACTTTTTAACTTAGCACTATCCAACCCTGCGTAAACGTAATTATGTAGAACAATATGATTCACATCTAAAGTACATCACTTTGTAACATAAATATCAGCGGTGTATCTCAGACAACAATGAACGATAAAAATAAAGTTCGTGACGACTCGCAATTATGGAAATAGAAAGATTTTTTTTAAATGATGTATCCATTAGATATTTTTTTAAGCCTGCATTTTAATGTTACACAACTGACACAATTTTGAGATAAATTGAGTGAACTTAATTCTCTTAATTAAGTCAATATATGTATTTGCATCGTTTGAATTGATATTATATCATTATTAATATAAACTATGTTTTCACATATGTCATTAATTACATAGTATTTTGCTGTGCAGTATAGTGTGGAATTTGTGTTGAATATTTCCCTATAGACTTTAGGAACACATGTGTGTTTGTATTGTACACGCGTGTCAGTGTAAATACGTATAGGCATATATATCGAACGCAAGCACTTTGGATACAAATATAGTCACATAGATGTTAATTAGTGCGGATACACATATAAGGAGAATATGTCGTATAAATAGAGAGTCTATTTATACTTGATAAGACCTCCGTAGCCATGAAACATAAAAGAAAATGTGCAATTAAGTACATCTATGTATACAACTATATTATTTTTATATACATGTGTGTATATATATATATATATTATATAGCAGGTCATCAAAATTTTCACAATGAAAATGAAATGATTTTTCTATATCAATATATCGAAAGTGAAGAAATCTACACTTGTTTTCTTGAGTTAATGGAACTACTTCAATCCATACATCTTGCCTAATATAAAGGAAAATATGTATGCGTTGATAAAGAGAGGAAAGAGAGAAACTATCTTTCTTTTATCACATATAACGGAAATCCAATCAATGAAAAAATTGAATGTAATAAGTGGCTTTTTATAATAAATATACTGTGATTGATTAACAAAAATATATCAAATTTTATATAATATGTTAAACTATTGCCAGATTTATTCAACTATGTATATTTCAATTAATTTCACAAATTAATGAATACAATTGATAAACACTTTATTTATTTCATTTATTAAATACGTTGTATTAAATATGAATACATTATAAATGAATGCGGTATTAATTTAGCTTGAAGATGTAGACATACTAATTCGATCTGGTTTTTAAACACAATTTAAAATACTAACTTGACTTATATTACCATAAATAAATAATACTCGCTTAATAAAGAGATGCTATACGTATTATACGACAATAATGTCATGTAAGTATAATTACATGTACCTATTATATTAAAATAATTTAATTTTAATTGTTAACAAAGTTAACTAATTATGCATTACACGACGAATAATACTTATAAATAACAAACTGTTCTCATTTAAGAGAAATACATAATTATAATACATCAAGGGAGAACCCGTGCACGCATCAGTTCGCGGCGTGCACGCCAAGACGGAGCGAGTCGTATAGTCGTATTAGCGCGCATGGATGCATCGGCTCATGGTGCAGGAGGAGCGTAGGTGCATCGATTCGTAAGAGGTGGTGTACGGCGTGGTGCGATGCGGCCGTCGCACATGTGGGTGCATTAAGCGCGGTGAGGCCACATCGGTGACCCGGGGAGGATCGATGCCCTCGATACGTTTTCCCCGCGCGATCGGCAACCTGCTGCTGTTTTTATTGTCCGCGCCGCATAGTCGGCCGCCCCGTTCCTCGTTAGCCGTGTCTCTCGGCTTAATGCACATTACGCCGCGCGCACTCACGTTTGCAATTTGCTCACACGCCAGGATGCGTCCCCCTCTGGCACCGTACGACGCTGGCAGGGCCGACGACACTTCTCGGCGACGGCGACACGCCCTCGTGCCAGCGCGCGCCGGAGGATAATCGGAGCAGTGCACCTTGCACAATGCAGCGGAAAGAAAAAGGGATGCACACGGCCTCGCGTAAACGTATCAGAGATTCTTTCGATTTTCCCGCGAAAACCCGAGCGCCTGATTCGCCTGAGGAACTGCTAATACAATCGGACAGCTACTGCTTTAGCGTAGACGAGATTGCCTGCGGCGTAGAACTCCATTTCACTGTCACTTTATATAACACGTTACGGTTCAAGTCGATTTACCGTGTTTTTAAATTTTTATATAGTTCAGTGATTATTTTTAAAGGAAGGATAGATTTAAATAAACTAAAATAATAATGATATAAATAGTAATAATATAAAGTAAGTAATAATGGATTATAAAATCCTTCGATTTATGTCTTTTCAATATTGATTGCGAGTAATTCACATTATTGCAACAAATATTTCATGAATTGCATCAACTAATTATTGCCTAGAACAATGTTCTTAATACTAAAAATATCAATGTTTCTCACTAAAGGGAATAAGTGAATATAATACTATGAAAAAAAGTAATATTTCATCAGTATAAAGAACACAATTATTGAAAAAACAAAAAGTTTCAAAATTTTAACTTTTATACAAGAAATATAATATTAATCTGAAAAATAGTAACGGTCAATAATGACGTTTGGTACCTCTTATGTCAAATTTGCAATCCTTTTGCATTGAGTCATTGTTTCAAGTATAAGAGCTTTAATTTGAACTTACTTTAATTATCAACAATAAATTTTTTTCCTTTTTAGCACTTAACTGTTTTAAATATCGAATTATCCAAATATCTTTGGAAAATCTTCAATGTAGGAAGTAGTAAAAAGGATATATTTTGAAAAAGGATGTATTAAGATACGTGTTTTAGCAAATGAATGACGTATTTTAGCGAACTATTGTGAACAGATCGCATGATGCAATCGAGAAAAATTATTCATAGGCAGCTATCGACGAAGTTTTTATGTCTACAACTTGTGACATAAAACATGTCGCGTGAGTGAAATTCATAAAATTATATAGATGTCCTCATTTTATTTAAAAACAAAATCAGTTTACCTCAAAAATTTTATTTCCAGCCACTTGAACCGTTTTTTTTTTAAATTCAATTTTCTCAATGTACCTTTTATGTTTCTTTTATTGAGAAAAAAGTCTCAAAACAACAGATTAATTGAGAAGTGAAAGAAGAATGTAAAAAATTATGACAATGAGTAACGATTTTTTATAATGTTTTTGCGTTTGTCATTATTATTTCCTAAAGAGTAGACTGTATAAAGCTTTCGCTGTCGCATGCACGATTCATTAGGGTTTCCACGTGCTTCCGCTGACTCGTGAAGAGGCGACCCTCTCGATCAGGTACAACATTGTTCAAGAGTCTCAAGAGCCGCAGGTCGCGATGCAGAATTAGGGGTGCCAATATACTCGACGAGAACGTATATATCTCTGCGTCGGTCGATATTCGCCAGGGGTGAGCGGCCTGCTCTACTAACGTGCAAGCTTCGCGCGTTATTCGAGTCGCCTTTGCGTAGACCTAAACCTTTTAATTAAATTTCCAAGACTACGGATATAACGGTTCTCCGAATAATGCGTTAGTGCACTACTTGGACCAATTAGCGGCGTAGTTGGCATGCACACGAAACACCCTCAACCGCAATGACAATCTGACGCTTAGTCGGCTCAGGGATGTCCCAGATGGAACTTTGCGAGGACCCGAATCCACGTGAATTACAATTAACCCCCGAGCTACGCGTTGTGTAATTAAATTATGCAAATTTATGAAACACACACGAGCGCCATATCCGCGTGCCACCAGTCGATATCCGCTTTCGGTTGATTCTAATTTTGGATGTCAACAGTCGTATGAAGGTCCAACCGATTCTGTAATTATATCGTCTCAATTATGACGTACGACACACATGCTGCGCGCGGGAAACGTGACAGGAACAGAATTTTCAATCTCAGCCATGTACGGTTTCCTTTTAATCAGATTTTCAGCAACGCGACAGCCGGATTTGATCTTGTTTAACGTCCAGACAAAATCAATTGGTGAATAGAATCGTCTATGGACTGTTTACAAGACAGTTTGCTTGCGTGCTTTGACGTCTCGATGGAATTGAACGATAATAACGTAGACGCAGATAGTCAATATTTTATTTAAGTTTATAGTCGAAATAAATAGTAAATGTGATTGAATGTACACTGCGTATCGGCTATCATAAGAAATTGCTTGTCAGCAGAACATATTTGTTTTATGAATTGTCAAAAATCAATTTCGTTTATAATTTTTTCTCGATAAATTATTTCTTACCATCAATATCATTTAATATTAATATATCATTAAAAAGATTTATGTTAAATATTAGAATAATAAAATGTAAATAAATATATAATGTAATTTTTAAATTTTCTATCTTATTAATATATTGTAATAATTAATATTTA